GGTGTCAAAATATATTAACACAACAGGTGCTTATCATATACACAGCTGCCCAAATACTTGTGTGTTGCCCAAATGCATACATATACCCCTATATATATATCCTTCACCTCTTTTTAATGCTATACATATTTCTAATTAAAACATTACGCAAATACCCCCATACAATACATTAAATTACGATGACAATCATTTTAAGCAATGTTGCAAATATAACATTATTTCAAGTTCCCAAAATGAGAATTAAACATATTGTAATAATTAAGCGGTGGTTTATCGACATGCGACTCTTGTTAGCATTTTCGGGATGTTACAACTCTCTCCCCCTTAAAGAAAGTTCGGCTCGAAATTTACCTTACACTAGTCCCGGAACAAGTGCGGATACTGGGTTCTCATGTCTTCTTCTCTTTCCCATGTAGCTTATTTTCCAGAATGGTTCCTCCAAAGTACCTTTACTAAGGGAATTCTCTTGTTTCTAAGTTGCTTTACTTCTCGAGCTTGAATTAGAATAGGTTCTTCATTAAACGTCAAGTCAGGATTAACCTCAATAGATTCGACTGGAAGAACATGAGATGGATAAGAACGATATCTTCTAAGCATAGAAACATGGAAGACATTGTGAATCTTGTCTAACTCAGGTGGCAAAGACAATTTATATGCCACTGGTCCAACCCTTTCAAGTAACTCCTAAGGTCCAATAAATTAGGGACTAAGCTTTCCTTTCTGGCCAAATCTCATAATCTTTTTCCATAGAGACACCTTTAAGAATACTTTATATCCAACTTGATATTTAATGTCACGCCTTTTAAGATCAGTGTACGACTTTTGTCTATCCGAAGAAATCTTTAGACGATCTTTGATAATTTTTACCTTGTCCTCTTTTTGTTGCACAACTTCAGGACCAACAAGTTTTCTTTCACGAACTTCACTTCAACAAAGAGGGGTCTGGCATTTTCTTCCGTATAAGGCTTCATAGGGAGGCATTCCAATACTTTATTGGTAATTGTTATTGTAAGAAAACTCAATCAAAGCCAAGTGTTTGTCCCAACTACCCTCAAACTCCATAATGCAAGCTCGAAGCATATCCTCCAAAATGTGTATTACTCTTTCTGACTGGCCTTCTGTTTGAGGATGGAACGAAGTGCTAAATTTCAACTAAGTACCCAAAACTTCCTGCAAGATGCCCCAAAATCTAGATGTAAACCTTGGGTATCGATCTGATGCAATAGATACAGGTATCCCATGTAGTCTTACAATCTCATTAATGTACAATTCGGCTAAACGCTCAAGTGAGTAATCCATCCTGATTGCTAAGAAGTGAGCACTCTTGGTTAGCCTGTGCACAATCACCCATATTGCATCATGGTTCCTTTCGGTGTGAGGAAGTCCTGAAATAAAGTCCATTGTTATTATCTCCCATTTCCATTCTGGCATTGACAAGGGCTATAGTAAACCAACTGAGACTTGATGTTCTGCCTTTACTTGTTGACAAACCAAACATTTAGAGATGAACTCCGCAATGTCTCTCTTTATACCATTCCACCGGTAATTTTCTTTGATGGTCTGGTACATCTTTGTACCTCCAGGATGCATTGCATATGACGCAGTATGTGCTTCTTTCAATATTTCTCTCCTCAATTTGTCATCATTAGGGACGCATAACCTATTTTGATAAAATAAGCCACCATCCTCCGTAAATGTAAAATCATCTTTTTTTCTACTTTGAACTTCTCTGGTCACTTTTACAAGTTTCTCATCTAACTTTTGTGCTTCTTTCACTTGTTCAACTAATATTGGCTTTACTTGAAAATTAGCAATGACTGAACCATTTGAATCAAGTGTAAAACAAATATTCAAGGCTCTTAACTCAAGGAGCAAGGGTAAAGGACTCAAAGAAATGCCTGCGAAGGATTTCCGACTTAAGGCATCTGCAACCACATTGGCTTTACTTGGATGATAATCAATCATGCAGTCATAATCCTTGATGAGTTCAAGCCATCTACGTTGTCGAAGGTTTAGCTCCTTTTGAGTACCCAAGTACTTTAAGCTCTTGTGATCAGTGACTATATGACATTTCTCTCCATACAAATAATGCCGCCATATTTTTAAAACAAACAGTATAGCAGCCAGTTCAAGATCATGAGTAGGATAATTCAATTCATGCGGTTTTAATTTTTGAGAGGCATAAGAAATAACCTTCCCTTCTTGCATCAAAACACATCCTAGACCATTGTGAGAAGCATCACTGTAAACTACATTTTCTTTCCCTTTAATTGGTAGAGTAAGTATAGGAGCTTGAGTCAACAAGGATTTGAGAGTTTCAAAGCTCTATTGACAATTGTCAGCCCAAATAAACTTTATTTCCTTATGCAAGAGCTTAGTCAAAGGGGAGGCAATAATGGAGAAGCCTTTCACAAATCTTCTATAGTATCCTGCTAAGCCTAAGAAACTTCTTACCTCTGTTGGACTTTTAGGAGGTCTCCATTCAACAACCGCTTGTATCTTACTAGGATCCACCTTCACACTTTCTGTTGATACAACATGTCCCAGAAAAGCTACTTCATCAAGCCATAATTCACAGTTGGAAAGTTTAGCATAAAGCTCTTTCTCCCTCAAAATTTACAAAATAATTCGGAGGTGTTTATTATGGTCTTCATTACTTTTGGAAAATATTAAAATATCATCTATAAAAACAACCACAAACTGATCAAGATAAGGTTTGAATACTCGATTCATTAGATCCATAAATACCGCATGAGCATTTATCAATCCGAATGGCATCACCAGAAATTCAGAATGACCATACCGAGTTCTAAAAGGAATTTTAGGAATATCATTATCTCTAACCCACAGTTGGTGATATCCAGACCTTAAATCAATTTTTGAGAATACTTTAGCACCCTTAAGTTGGTCAAACAAATCATCGATCCTTGGAAGAGGATATCTATTTTTGATTGTTATTCTGTTCAATTGTCTGTAGTCAATACAAAGCCTAAGAGTGCCATCTTTCTTCTTTATGAATAAAACAGGGGCTCCCCAAGGAGAAACACTAGGTCGAATAAAACCTTTCTCAAGAAGTTCTTGCAGTTGAGATTTCAATTCTCTTTATTCTGCTGGATCCATTCTATAAGGAGTGATATAAATAGGGGTAGATCCAGGGATAAGCTCGGTTGGAAATTCAACCTCTCTTTTCGAGGGCAATCCCGAAAGGTTTTTTGGAAATACTTCTGGAAAATCACATACAGTAGGTATGGCTTTGATACAAGGAATCTTCAATTGTATATTAACTATGTGGGCAAGGTATGCCCCACAACCTTAACGGATCAACTTTCTTGCCAAGGCCGTAGAAATAATACTTGATGTCACTGATCTTTTACCTTGTACAATGATGTGTGAAAATGTAGGATCTTTAAAAGTCACATGTGATAACGTTCAAATATACTTCTTGAAAAGAAATATAAACGATCGTATGCAATATATTTACCCAACTATGAGTCGAGGTCGATCCCATAGAGAATACGGAAGAATATTGTCAATAGCAAATATTTAACTCGATAGTCGTTATATAACAATGGGGGGGGGGGGTTTAATTTGAAATAAAATAAACAAACAATAAAAAGATAGCTTTGAACTAAGTATTTATTTATATTCAGATTATTAAAAGTAACTAAGAATGTGTTCCTCATAAGCTCATAACGCAGTAATCCTAGTAATTGCAATCCTTTCCTAGTGTATTACATGCAAAGTGATAAGTTAGGTATCTCTAAATCCTTGATCCGGCATCTAGAGAATTTCACCCCACACCTTGATCCGGCTACGTGTGTATAATTTACTAACCCTTACCTTTACCTCATATTAGATCGATGTTTGGCTTAGTTATTACTTCGCACCAATCGATACTAGCCTATTAGATAGTATCCCACTAAATCTATGTTGATAATTCTTTTCTTGTTGATTACCTCCTTGATCCGGCAAGTAGCAACAAGGCGAGTTCTAACGCGTGCACTCGTTAAAAAGACTTTTAAACGAAAGAATTATCAATGCATGCAAAACACTATTCAAGAATTGCTTATTTACTATTCATACATTGTTAATCGCTCATGGTTCCCACAACCCTAGTTATGAAAGTTAGTTACTCATTATCTCAAGAACACAATCAAAATTCATTAAAATAAACATGCTTGTGTTAATCATAAAAAGTTAAGAACAATAGCTAAACTATCTTTTATTAATCACATACAAATAAATAATAAAGGAGAAGAAAGAATAAGCCACAATTCTTCGGCCTCCACGGCGGCTCTTCCAAAGTTCCTAAGCTAGAAGAAAATTTATACTCGGTCTTGTATCTTGGTTCTTGGCTTCCTCCCAAATACTTATTTCTCTACACTATTTATAGATGTAGAAAACCCTAAATAAAATAATTAAGTTCAATACAAATTAGGAAAACAAAACCCAATTAAATTGGGTTTTCCGTGTGGCCGCAATTTATGGAAATTCTTGGCGGCAAGGGCTGGTCAGGTGGTGACACGTGGCAGCTGCAAACCACATTCAAATTGAATTGGAAAGTCCTTCTTTGCACCATATATAGAAATATATTATTTTAATAAATTTAATCCATTAAGTTGTCTGCTTGATTTCCTTCTTCAACCTTCCATCTTTAATTTGTTTTAGCTCCATACTTCTTCTTTTTTTCCACCAGTTTAATCCTACAAATAAAATACACAATTTAGCACAATCCATAAAGTTTATGCTCAAAAAGGACAAATATAAATAATAAATGTGAGAAATAATGATTAAAAATATGTATTTTTAGCCTCACATCAACATGCTTAGACCTACAATCTACCACCGCATGATATTTATAAAGCCAATCCATCCTCATAATAACATCAAAATCCTTGAAGGGCATTTCAATCAAATCAGCAAGAAAGACTAGGTTTTGAATCACAAAGGGACAATCTTGGTAAACTCGATTACACACAACTTGATAACCCAAAGGACTTTCAACTAGCATTAAAATCAAGTCTCACAGATTTCACATTTCCGGGAAGAACAAGTGATGAACAAATATAGGAATGTGTAGAACCAGGATCAAACAATGTAAACACACATAAGCCAAATTTATCGACAACCACATCTTGTCCATCTTGATCATCCTTCTGCCTCATCGCATAAGCGTGTGCAGTAGCCTTTTGCCCACTAGATTGATTAACTCTACGTGTACCTGCTGCCTGGGTGTTTTTAGGTCTTGTACCTCTATTAGTTTGAGGAGGATTAACAAAAGGCTTATGAATTGAGCCTTCATGTTTAAAGGAAGGAGCATTACTAGGATTAGGACAATCTTTCACTTTATGATCAAAGCTCCCACAACTGAAACATGCACTAGAAGCTCTCCTGCAAGTGCCATAATGATTATTTCCACATTGTGGACAAGTAGGAACACGAGGCTTGCCTTGGCCATAATTTGGAGTGCTAGCTGTAGAACTTCTGATTTGTTTTGCCTTTGTTGAGGTGGCCAGTTATCACTACCAGCCTTAGAATTATCAAACCGTCCCCTTTTGGATGGACCCCCGAAATTTGGTCTAGGCTTTCAGAATCTATTTTCATTTCTACTAGTTTCTTCTTTATCAAGTCGTTCCCAAGTAAAAACAGCAGGCACTAACTTACAAAATTTCTCATGTTGCAGGATCGCCACATTCTTCCTAATGGAATCATTTACACCATCTTCAAATTTCCTGCACTTGTCTTTTTCCTCTTTAATAATACCACCAACATAGCAAGAGAGCCTTAGAAACTTCTGTTCGTCTTTAGTAATAGACATGCCTCGTTGCCTTAGATTCAAAAACTCCTTTTTCTTTACATCACAATAAGCAGGTGGGACATACTTCATACGAAATTCCTTAAGAAAATCATCCCAAGTAAGAACATAAGGTTTTACCTTGGCATTCAGAACACTTACCCACCAATCATAAGCATCCTTTTGTAATAGTGAAATAGCATACTTAAATTTGGCAACATTTGAACACTCCAACTGCTCAAATACCCTCTCCATGCGATCAAGCAATTGTTCAACAACTGTGGGATCAACAGTTCCTTCAAACTCCACTCCACCCATTTTCCTCATTTTTCTCAAAGTTAATCTTGTGGGAATCATGCATCGATTCAGTCATATGGTGGAATAATTCATCCATTTGTTGTAAATGAAGATTCATGGTTTGAGTACCATGACTCATGTGAGGATGTGGACCAACTCTTACACCTAGATGGTTTCCCATTTAAGAACCACTAGTGTGGGGGACATACTGATTCGAGATATGTTCTCCAACCCCTTTAAGTGCATGAGGTTGGGAAAAAGAGGCACCCGAACCTTCAGAAGCAACTTCCATAGGTCGGTCAGAAGAAGTGGCCATAACTTAATTCCTTCAAAAGAGAAGATCACATTGCATTAGGGATATGTACTAGATGCATATGCACTCTACATGCGATGTAATTATCATAAACCATATAAGCGAACAAATAATCTAAATAGAACCTTTTTTGAAAGCAAACAACTATATTAGTAATTCACAACAAAAGTCCCAGAACCACAAACCTAGGCTCTGATACCAACCCTTGTAGCGATCCTTTCAAAACGATACCACTACTTAAACAAGAAATTTAATTAAATACTTGTGACATTTAAAACCAATTAATGAGGGCATACTGATTTTAATTTAATAGAGGGATTAGTTCAGAACAAACTCCAAAAATATATATATATATAACATTTAAGCAATTAACCAACCAGATCTTCATGCATATGTTAACCTCACACTCGAGGGTGAAATAACAAGAATATTACAAGCTTCCGAGTACCGAAATCAGCCGGCTCATGATTCACACAACTTTCAAGACATATAGCAAATTAGTATATTACAAGACTTGGGTTTACACACCCCAAAAAGATAAAAACGTATAACCATACTTATATTACAACCCAGGGTTACATGACCAAAGAAGCCCTCAAAATCTCTTGTAAATATACAACACAAAGATCATGTACAAGTCCCAAGGTTATACAAAATATATATGCCTATATGCAAATGTGATCTTCCTTAAGGCTTTCAAACTCTCCATCATCAATGGCCAGCTTCAAGCATCATCACGAACAGCCCCTACGATAGAAACAACTATCGCTAAGCATATAGCTTAGTGGTGTACAAACTATAGATTTGGAACCCTTAAATTCACCAAGTTATCATTCTCGAGTCAAGGCCAGCACGATCGAAACAAAATCAGTAAATCAAGTAAACAATATACAAGGAGTATCAAGTTCAATATATGAAGGTCTAAATGTCAAGAATGCTCATAGAACAACTTTTCAAGAGATTCAATAACAAGGATCACCCAATATATACATCATGTCTTCACACCAAGCGCGAGGAGGTATCAAGAAGGGTCAAAACCCAATAACCAAGAGAACCAAGAACCATATTTAAAAAATGGCCTCCTAGTTCGTACTTAAAATGGACAACTTCCATTCTTAAGACGAACTAAAAATCCAGAGTCAAGAGGGCAAATGATCCGAACCAAGAGGCATTCCAAGAGTGACAAAGTCACAGCCACAAGAAGGACAAGGTTCCTACAAGAGTGCTAAGTGATCAAACAATCCATACAAGTGGGCGAGATACATAAGCGTCTTTAATGTATTAAAGAATAACAATACGACAATGCAAAGTGACCAGAGGTAACCAAGGTACCAAAATAACTTTCAGACATACCAGCAGGTAAAAAGAGTACAGGTATAAGCTTATACACAAACCTCAGTTCTTTAGCACAAAAACAGTCCAATAAAACTCCACGAGTCAAACCGTAGACCTAGCAGCGTATCAAAGTCATCCACTTGTACACGAGGATATACAACCTTAAAAAAATGAATTCAATAACTTATTTACTTTCTAGCAACTCAATAATGATGACGTAAAATAGGGTTATCATCAAAAGTAAGCCTAGCATGTACATATACGACTATGCTCCCAAACAGTAAATTATGGCCATCTTAGTGCATCATGTCGCAACTAAGATTTGAAATGGCAAACAGCAAAACTGGACTGTATACTCTTCATGAAAGATGTAGGTAACTCTCTTAAGGTTGAAAAAAACCACGAATCACCACAAAATGTATTTTGGATTAAAAGATATATTCAAAACACTAACAGTTCTCCATATAGGATTTCAAATTTCAGAATCTGGACAAAACTTGTCCTATGATGTGTCTCATATTTCGAATCCATAACAATTAAATTAGAGTTTAACATAAACATAAGAGTTCTACATATACGAATTATATTCCCAAATCATATTTATTCATAGTAAACAAAGTTCTATAGAACGAGATATGCTTAATCTACTAAACGCTACCCAGGTCAAAAATAGGTTTTACGACTTACCAAAGAGAAGACTGTAACTCGATTTCCAGCCAAAAGGACCAAGATTTTCTCTTGTGATCTTGAAGAACAACAGGTTAGATAATGTTCAAAGGGACTTATACTTCAGGTGAGATGAATTTCCTAAGAGGAGGTGTCAAAATATAGTAACAGAAGAGGTGCTTATCATATACACACCTATCCATAAAAGTTGGCTGCCCAAATACTTCTGTGTCGCCCAAATGCATATATATACCCCTATATTTATATATCCTTCACCTCCTTTTAAAGCTATACATATTTCTAATTAAAATATTACGCAAATACCCCCATACAATACATTAAATTATGATGACAATTATTTTAAGCAAGGTTGCAAATATAACATTATTTCAAGTTCCCAAAATGAGAATTAAACATATTGTAATAATTAAGCAGTGGTTTATCAACATGCGACTCTTGTTAGCATTTTTGGGGTGTTACAACACTTACTCGAAACAATGTGATCAAGGAAAGCTACGGACCTTAACCAAAATTCACATTACTAAACTTTGCAAAAAGTTGTTGGTCGTTAAGAATTTGCAACACAAACCTCAAATGATCAATGTGCTCATCTTCACTCCTTGAGTAAATCAAAATATCATCAATGAACACAATCACAAACATGTCAAGGTATTGTATAAACACCTTATTCATCAAGTCCATAAATATCGCTAGAGCATTAGTTAACCCAAACCACATTACTAGGAACTCATAATGACCATAACGAGTTCGAAAAGCCATCTTCAAAATGTCATCATTTTTCACCCTCAATTGGTGATTGCCCGATCAGAGATCAATCTTAGAAAAATAACTTGCCCCATGAAGTTGGTCAAACTTATCATCTATCCTTGGAAGAAGATACTTATTCCTAATGGTCACCTTGTTCATCTATTGATAATTGATACACATCCGAAGAGAACCATCCTTCTTTTTAACAAACAAACTGGAGCACCCCATGGGAAGATACTTGGTCGGATAAAACCCTTGTCCAAGAAGTCCTTCAATTGTTTTTCCAACTCCTTAAGTTCTGCCAAAGCCATACGATAAGTAAGAATAGAGATAGGTTGCGTATCTTGGAGAAGGTCAATACCGAAGTCTATTTCCCACTCGGGAGGAATGCCGGGTAAGTCATCTAGGAACACTTCTCGAAACACATTTACAATAGGGACTGACTCATAAGAAGTGGTTTCAGAATCTACATCCCTCACCCTTACTAGATGGTAAAAGAAGCATTTAGAAATCATCTTTCTAGCTTCAAGATAAGAAACAAACTGACCATTAGGCATAGAATTTCCCCCCTTCCACTCTAGGATAGGATCATTCAGGAACTGAAACTTGACTACACGAGTTCTACAATCAATAGAAGCATAAGATGAGTGCAACAATTACATACCCAAGATAACATCGAAATCTAACATGTCAAGCTCTACTACGTCAACAAGAGTAACTCTATGGGACAAGGAAACGGGACAGTTTCTATAGACCCTCTTAGCTACCACAAAAATCACCAACGAGAGTAGAGACATAAAAGGGTTCTAGCAACACATCTGGGAGCACATCAAACCTTGTAGCCACATATAGCGTCACAAAAGACAAGGTAGCGCCGGGATCAAGTAAAGCATATACATCAAGTTGGAAAAGTTTCAACATACGGGTAACCACATCCGAAGAACTGTCTTGTTCACCTCTAGTCTGAAGAGTATAAAAGTGGTTTTGCTTAGCAACATTGGAACCCGCACCACTAGTAGTAGCTTGCTTTCCCTCTTTTCCTTTAGCCATAATTATTGGGCAATCCCTCATTTTGTGACCACTTTTACCACAACAAAAGAAATCATCCGTGTCAGCTAGGCACTTAACATCATGCTTCCTTCCACTCTTTGTACAATTAGACCTAGGCAATGAAGATCCATGATGAGTCCATGATTTGGACTCATTTAGGGCTTTATTTTAATGCATTTAGTGCCCACAAATGCATATTTTGTCTCAATAACTGATGTAAATACTGGAATTTTAGGTATTTGAACTTAGGGATAAAGCACGGACACTATGGAGCAAAAAGGAATATGGCACCTAAAAGAACGAAGAAAATAAGGCATGAGGATCGCTTAAACCATTGGGTGAGTCACCGAATAACCTTAGTCTCGCCCAATGTTCTAGTGTGCCAAGCCTTGAAGGATAAAATCAAATAGATGATAGAAAAGAGCAGTCGGCGAGTCGTCGAACGGTTCCGCGAGGCAGTGCCATATCACCCAAAGTTACAGAGCTTGAAGTTGATGAAGGACAATGCAGAAAGGCAATGAACCCAACCAAAGGGCGGATCACCGAGTGGATCGGTGATCCCGACTAACTGCGCTGAGTGATCCCTCGCAGCACACTTTTTGACAACTATAAATACCTGTTTGAATTTTTAGTTTAGTATCAAGTTTTATCTTTTTTAGAACTCAGTTTTAGAACTTATTTTTTGGGAGACAATTTTCTTTAGCTTTGAAGAGTTGAAGATTTTAATTTCTGAAGCAATTGGAAGTTGGAATTGAAGAATTTTCATCCTTGACGTGTGTAAAGACAATATTTATTGTACGTATTTGATGGAAACACTTTTTGGTATTCATTTCTATCTCTTTACTATGTCTAGCTAAAACCCCAATTCTTGGGGTGTGATTTTGTGAAT